GAATATATTTTAGAAGGACAGAAAGAAAGATCGCCACACAGCTCAGAGTCCGAGAGTGAGCATTATTGTCCAGAAAACAAAAACCCTAGAGTTTATTCCGTTAATTTGTGCCTCTACCACTACCTGTGAGTATGCCAACACTGTCAAATTCCGTTCTGAAACTCTGATACCTTTTTTGCTGATATTACATGACTTTAGTAGAAAAATAAATGGAAAATGTATATGGAAAGGTTTGGAACACTATATGGTATTACATAGATGTAAATTTTTCTCAAGCGTAATATTAAATTTGCTGTATGTATTAAGTCATCAGAGAAGCAATAACGGATTTTTCTGTTTTTCTATGCAAACTGCATCATGATTTTCCCAATGACCCCCTAGTTTAGAACTCCATCATTTTTCATGTGGATTTTGACGACATTCTGGGAATGCCATCATTCTCTCTCCCTCTCTTGCTCTTTTGTGCTAAAATGAGAGAGAGAAAAGACACATGCTCTCTCTAATGACCAGATTATTGTACTTATCAAAATTTTATCGAATCCTTATGATAAACCCAAGTATCTTCAAGTTGGTAGATACGTACCTCAAAACAGCTTCAGAGAAACAATAACATACTAGGTGGCTTCTATCTCCTGGTTTAAAACAGACTTATGAAAATTTAGACCTGAAAATGTCCTTGTACCAACCAGTACAAGTTTTTAGTTTATAAGTTATTGGAAAAGTAGCTTCTACCCTAGAATCCCAAAAGACCCCCCAAGAACCCAGTTTCCTTGTTCATCTTGCAGTTTTTAAACCAGCCATGCTAAGTAACGGAATTCTGGGAATCCATGACGTGAGAGTGAAGCATGGCAAAGTTCAGTGAAGCCTGGTTTGGTTACACCTCAGTGTGTGGAACCTCCCTGAGCTCTGGGCGTACGGAATGGGCTGGAGTGTGTGGCAGCGTCTTCAAGTTGGCTAGAATTAAAGGTCAGGGAAGGGTGGACCCAGAGTGGTTGGGTCTCTTCTAAAAGACTCGGGTCTTTGTGATTGTTGTCTCCTCTATTCAAGCTCAATAAATATTCCTGAACCTCTAATCATGTTAGACCTTCCTTCTCAGCATTATTTTGTTTTCCTTCCCTTTCTGTTTTAAGCTCTGTGTTTTCAACTTAAACCTCCTCATAGGCCCCCACCTCTCTGCATGTCATTATTTTCCTTGAAGTCATTTATTTCCTACAAGATGTCTTCCGTCGTCTCCCTCAGGCTTCTTTATTTTCCACGAACAACTGACATGAAAACAGAAAAGGACTGAGATAGTCCCGGCTATGTGAGGGTTTTAGTTTCATATGACCTTGTGACACTTGATCTTAGTTTTAAAATAAGAGCATTTAAAAAAGTTCTTTATGTTGACACCTTGGAAATAAGACTATATGTGATATTCATTCAGAGACTTATAAATATTTTATATATTCTTGTTGCAGAGAACTTGGACTCCCTTGGTATATTTGCAGGATTAAACTAGTGAGACTACGAGGTGGGAGGTCAGCTGACTCGTGATCTGCTCACAGTTACTCTCGGGTTTCACTATTTGGCTAATATTCTCCAAGGCATTCGTCAATGTCCAAATGTTATAACTGGGAAAGTAAATTTTCTCTTGACATTACATTGTAATTTACTGAAAAAAAATAATAAACTACAGGCTTATCATTTTTTTTGTCATTAAAACAAACACAAAGGTCTCTATTATTTTCTTTGCCTGCTATATAATGTCCTGCCATCATCTATAACTGACAGTTTATTTACAGTATAGCCCAAACATCTCCTGGAGAAAATGTCAGCAGCAGAAAGATTTCAAGCATATTTTTCTCTTTCTTTGTTCTGTTTGCTCGTTTTACATTTAACCAGTGTACATATTTACAGTACACAAAATGAATTTTCCCAGCACACGTACAGTGGGTCTGAATCCAGTCAAAGCCGTTACCATATCCACCATCATCATTTTCCATTTATCTTGTCCACTAGATAGATGTTTTGGTCTCCCTTCTAGATTTCCTCCCTGGGACCCCCCACTCTCTAACACCCTCCCACACTATCTCCAGTACCCACAGGTGCCCTCCCTGCTTTTACACCTGCCAGTCTTTCAGTCTCTGTCATAGAGTGCTGGCAGTCAGTATATACTGAGTGGGGACATACACTGCCTCTCGTTCATAGTCTGGCTTGCTTTGCTTAGCATTAAATCTTCCATCATCATCCACTTTTATCAAATGCCAAGGTCTCATTGTATTTTTTGGCTGAATAGGTATTCCATTGTACATATGTACCACATTTTTTCAATCCATTCATCTGTTCTTAGACATGTGGTTTGATTCCATGTCTTTGTTAATTGACCACACACCAGTAAGATGAAGAGTGTCTGCTATGTCCTGGAGGTGTGTGCTTGGTTGGACGTACACGATGGAACATCTAACTTGTTGACGTTAAATGGAAAACTTTGCTGTATTTAAAGTTCTGTCATGGGTGTAGAGGTGTCCAAGAAAAAAATATAGTATCTGGACTTTTTTAGAAAAAAGAATTATTTATTTAATTTTACTTATTCATTCATTTATTTTAATTTGACCACAGAGAGACACAGAGAGAAAGAAAGAGGGAAAGTGAAAAATCAAGCCACCAGGTCCAGACTTGAACCGTGGTCGGCCATGTGGGAGTGTCCAGTGCCTTAGTCACATGTCACCTGCTGGTCCCCAGTAGTCGAACTTTTAAAAAAATTTAATTGAATTTCCCAAATTGAATTTGAAAACTATAACCTGCATGGTGTTCTTTTTTTTTTAATGAAATAAAAAATAAATACAGGATAAGCACTCACAGTGGTAAATGATCTTTAGTAAATAGATAATTTGTGTCCAAACCTTGTATGACAAAACAAAGATTTTTAAACATCAGAATTAAAAACTGATCAGTAAAAAGTAACTATACAGGGATTCCATTATTTCAAGCTTTGACGTCAAGAATGCAGAACAGTTTGGGGCAGTGATGTATGTCTGGCCGAACTGAAAGTGGTATTGCTCGCGATGGAGATCGTAGGGACTCCAGGTGTGTGTCTCTGTAGTTGGAGGCCTCAGAGGCATGGTGGGCAAAAAGGGGGGTGGAGGCGATAACTGACCGTGTTTCACAGCGACCTGGTGGTTAGATCCACCCGCCTCCCCATCTTTACCTTTTCCCCTGGCTCCCCTCAATGAGCAGGTAAGCCCTCTCTGGTCTTGGTGCTCATGGACTTAACCCATCCTCCATGTTGGAGGCATTTTCTCAGTGCCACATCATTCACATCACTCCAGATCTTTGCAGCTTAAGAGGCTTCTGTGGGATGAGCCTTACTAGAAGTCAGACAGGCGTGCCCTCTATGGCCATCTGATCCTCAGCACTCGCCCAGGCTCCTTTCCGCATTGCTGCCTGTACCTCACCCCCAGGCACATCCTGGCTTCTGCGTGTCTTGAGCCCAGGCAGTTGGTCCTTGGCTCACAGCACAGAACTCACTACAATAGTCCCTGAAGTAGCACATTGCAGTGAAGCTTTTGATCCTTTTTCTTTCCTTTTCGCTGGATTCAGAGAGAGACAGTGAAAGAGCATTGTCCCAGGAAAGTGGCTACACTGCAATCCCTTCTGCTTTGTTTTCCTCTTGAAATCTCAGGCACACATGTGCATGTACCTAGAGTGACGTTTAACCCTCCAAGTCTGGGACTTTAACTTAGCTGTGGGTGTCCAGTGCCTCAACCACCATGCCACCTGTGGGCCCCTGCAGTTAAACTTTCAATGACTGTGAAAGGGGCTCTATTTTGTACTCTAGATGTTTAACCTATTATATTTATAACATTTCATTGTAACAGGAAAAATTCTATTTCTTAACAATATAAATATGCAAACAAAACAAAGAAACTTAACAAAATTCCAGAGACCAGCAGATAGCATAATGATTCAGGTGCTGGACTTTCACGTGGTTGATCATATTGGAGTTCCACACTCAGTGGCTTGAAAGTCAAGCTGAGCACGTGTGCATGCATGCTGCAAATCGCAAGGGGGTAAGGGACATTTTTTCTTTCTCCGTGTCTCTCTGTGACTGTTTGTTGAGCTCAAGCACCCTATGGCAAAAAATAGAAAAAAAAGAAAAAAGAAAGAAAAAGAAAAAGAAAAAAATCTGAGCCAGCAGGTGGTATGGAGATTAAAGACTTGTTTCTCACATGGCTGACTTAATGGTTCAAGTCCTGGACCCAGGGTATTGAAAATCACAGGGCGCATGTGCCCACCCCCCAGAATGCATTTGCCCTGTAGCAAAACCAAAGCAAACAAACAAACAAAAAATTCATCTTCATTCTCTACATGGAATTGGGAGTAACAAAATTGTTTAAAAGAGAAGTGAATGCCCTGCTCTTCTTTAGGAATACATTTCCGTGGGTGTTTTAAGAAAAAATCTGAGGCTCAGTCTGAGGCAGGGAAGTTAAAATGTAGCAGAGGAAACCCTTCTCTGAATTAACGTGAACAGTGGGTAGCCGGAGGTAATGTCATCGATCCCATCAAATCTCTGGCTAGCCTAGGGGTAGAATGGCTGGGAGAAAACATGAGAACAAAAATCCTGCTCCTGAGCAGAGCCCTGACCTCAGATGTGCCAGGGCAGAAGTAGGAAAAAGCTCAGTAAGGAAGTTCCTGTCACCAGGGCAACCAAAAAATTGAGCAACAAATAGGTGCAATGTTTTTCTCCTATGATCTCTATTGACTGTATCTAGATAAATGATGAGGCCCTTATAAACGTTAACATTAAAGAGAAAACTTATTTAACCCATTCTCTATGAAAGGAGGATGACAACCTGTGAAAGACCCGAACCAGCTCACATGGGTCACCGTGAGTGAAGGGAGGGCTCAGCATGCATTGTGCGCACCACCCAGTAGAGCACCGTGCCAGGTAATCCACTGGAAAAGTGGATTAAGAAGCCACGCTGTACCTTGTCTAGAACTTCCAGCTAAAGCAATTATCCACAATGGTGTGGGGAAACCAGACCTTCAGCTCTGACTTCATCTTGCTGGGGATCTTTGATCACAGCCCCACCCACACCTTCCTCTTCTCTCTTGTCCTGGGCATCTTCTCCGCGGCCGTCCTGGGGAACTCGGCGATGCTGCTCCTCATCTGTGTGGACACCCGGCTGCACACCCCCATGTACGTCCTGCTAGGCCAGCTCTCCCTCATGGACCTCATGCTCGTCTGCACCACGGTGCCCAAGATGGCCGCCAACTACTTGTCTGGAAGGAAGTCCATCTCGGTGGCTGGTTGCGGAGCCCAGATATTCTTCTATGTGTCCCTGCTGGGGGCCGAGTGCTTCCTGCTGGCAGCCATGGCCTATGATCGCTACGTGGCTATATGCCACCCTCTTAGGTATACCATTTTCATGAATCAGAAACTCTGTTTTCTTATGATTGCAGCTTCCTGGGTCTTGGGCTCTCTTGATGGCATCATCGTGCTTGCAGCTGTCCTGTCATTCTCTTATTGCAGCTCTCTGGAAATCCATCATTTTTTCTGTGATGTTGCAGCCCTTTTACCTTTGTCCTGCACAGACACATCTGCATTTGAAAGGTTGCTTTTCATCTGCTGCGTGGTGATGTTAATACTCCCAGTTTCGGTTATCATCTTTTCTTATTCTCATGTCCTTCGAGCTGTCATCCGCATGGGCTCTGGGGAAGGTCGCTGCAAAGCCTGTAGCACTTGCTCCTCCCACCTGTCTGTGGTGGGACTCTACTATGGCGCTGCCATGTTCATGTACATGAGACCAACCTCTAGCCATACTCCAGACCAGGACAAGGTGGTGTCAGCCTTCTATGCCATCCTCACCCCCATGCTGAACCCTCTCATTTACAGCCTCCGCAACAAAGAGGTGTCCAGGGGATTGAAGAAGCTACTGAGGAAAGGAAAGTTAATATAACGCTATAGAAAATCTTTTGAGTGCCCATTTTGCTCAACATTCCTTCAAAACAGTGAAAGCACTTCCATTATTCTATTCCTACGAGCATGTCTTCCTCCCCCTCCCCCCTTTTTTTTAAATGAAAGTATCTTTATTTAGTATATTGTATATACATCACATGTAAATTGGGCTTATTTTAGACATTGACACAGGCTACTTCTTCCCATGAATGTCAGTTATATCACTGGTTATTGGCTATTATTGGTCCTTGACTGTGGGGTGCTTGCTTTGGAACCAGGTGTAAGTCTGAAAGTTCTGGCTTTATCTGAGAACCCTCTGCTTTTAGAGAGATGCCCTTTTCCATGTGATCACTCACCTGTTACTACCTGTCTTCAGTTTTACCTGTTCTCAAACCTTGCATTGACCATTTGAATTGTGATTCTTCAGTACATAATTTTTATTTAGAAGAGGGGAGTTAATATCAGCACTTTCTTCCACTTTTTTTGCCTAGATAAAATATCTCTTAGAAAATCCTATATACCTTTTAACCAGTATATTAAACATAGATATTTTAATGAGTCCAAATAAAATGTCTATTTTGTATAGATGAACAACCATCAATTTCATCATATTGCTACATAGTAGTTGTGTATATTTAGATCCTGAGTTCATGTTCCAGCACCAGGTCCCTGAACATGGCTGGTGCACTTACGTGTGCCTGAGACCCGAATGACCAGGGCTGGGCACATTGCAGCATGAAGATCCTGCTGGGTGGGGCCTGTCTCTGTCTCCCTCTCTGTATCTCTTTCTAATGAAATGAATAAATAAACAAAAATAATTGTACATATTTATGGCTCACAGCATGACATTTCAATACACATTTTCAATTTGCAATAACCAAATCAATGTAATTAGTATATTTGTTACCTAAAATATGATTATTTACTTGTGTTAGGAACATTCAAATCTGATCTTCTACTTATTTTGAAATACTAAGTAAATCATTGTTAGCTACCGTCACCTTGATGTGCTGTGGAACACTAGAACTTGTTCTTCCAAACTGTATTATTTTTAAGTTTTTTACTAAAAGAGACGGGGGCAAGGGAGAGACCTTGGCAGGATACTCGAACTGTGGTCCTCCCAGCCCTACAGCCACTCAGGGACATGGCTTGCCCTGGGTGAGGCTGGCAGGCTTAGGCAGGTTCCAGGGCAGCAGCATGGCCCAGCACTGCCCAGCGGTGCCCTATAGTCACCAGCTGGATTTTTGTATCTATTATTCCCTCCTTTCTAGCCCTTCATCTTCCCCATCTTTCTACGCTCTGCCTCTGAGAAATCGTCTTTTTCCAGCTCCCACATGTGAGTGAGAAAATGGATGTGGTCTCTTTTACAGTCCTCTTTTGCCTTTATGTGATTTGGTCCAATTCCAGGAATTGCTAACCATTGTTTTTGTAAACAGCTCAGAAAGAAATGATTTCTTATAAATTATCCCACAAACTCACAAACATTGACTTGGAGAGAATTTATGGTCTCCAAATCTGTCCATGCCAATTGTTTTAATGCTCCACAAGGCATCTGCACTTCAGTAAAGTTTTGATGTACTCAAACTGTTGTTGCTTGGTTGTAAATATCCATATCTAAATTGTCTAATATTTGGCAATTATAGGACATTTTGTATCCTTCGTAGAGTCTGGCTTAATTTCTGTGCATTAATCCAGTCTTTATTGTGCAAAATATTATTGTTCTAAATTTTTTTTACTACACTTGGGTTTTATGATTTAGGGTCATGACAATGGATTATAACCTACTGCATCTCATAAATTACTATAAAAATTTTTTAACCAAGTAGAATATTCTCAATATTTCTTTTTTTAGAGAAAAGCAATATATCATAAAATTCAGCATTTTAAGGTACATAATTAAGTGGATTTTACTATGTTCACAAATTTATGAGAATATCAATACTATTAATATAAACTTTTTTCTGTTGCCAAAGAGAAAACTCATATCTATTAGCAATTATTTTCCACATCTTCCTCTCCCTGTCCCTTGCAGTCACTACTCTCTGTCAGACTTGCCTATTTTGGACATTGCACTCAAATGGAATAAACAATCTGTGACTTTTTGTGACTGGCTCCTTTCACTCAGCATGTGTTATTATTTCATTAGTTACTATACGTCAATTATATTTCCTTGTAAGGCTTCACCATTTTGTTTATGTATTCAGCAATTGATGATCATTTAGGGTGTGTCCACCTTTTCACCATTATGAAAAGTGCATTACAAACGTTTGTATAGATTTTTGTTTGGGTCTATGTTTTCAAATCTCAGGTGTATCTAGTAGAATCGCTCAGTTATATGGTAATACTCTGACTTTTTGAGGAGCTGCAAAATTGTTTTCCCCAGTGGCTACAAAATGTTACATTCCACCAGCAATGTAAGAGGATTCTAGTTTCTCCATATTCCACAAATCCATGTTTTCTATTTTTAGGCCATGGCTATTCTACTGGATATGAGGTCATATCTCCTGTGGCTTTTAATTGTTATTTCTTGAAAAACTAATGACTTTGAACAGCTTACATTTGCTTACTAGTAATTTGTATATACTGTTTGAAGAAATTTCTCCTCAGATCTACTTAATTTGTGTTATTTGTCTTTTTGTTGTTGTTAGATTTTTTTTGTTTTTGTTTTTAGTATCTTCTGGATGCTAGACCTTTATCAGATATATAACTTACAAATAATTTCTCCCATTGAGTGAGTTGTCTTTTTACTTTATTAATAGTGTTCTTTAATTTAGAGCAGTTTATAATTTTGAATCAAATTTATAATTATTTTTTCTAGAAGGTGTGTGGAATTCACGGAGAAACAGAGAGACAGGGAGAAGCAGAAGGAAAGACACTCTCCATGAGGGACTGTCATTCTCCAATTCCTTATCCTTCCTACATTTCTCCCTACTTTTGAGAATTTGGGCATGCACATATACATGCTTGGCAATGTTTCTCAGGACTGGGATCTGGGACCCAAACCACGGGGTCAGCTGTGTGGGACCCACTAGATCTTTCATATAGGCGAAATCATGCAGTACTTATCTCTCTGTGTCTGGCTTATGTTGTCCAGCATAATATCCTCCAGTTTCACTCATGCTGAAAATGATATCTTTTTAAGCACTGTGTGATATTCCATTGTGTGTATGCCACATGTTTTTATTCAGTCATGTGTTAATGCACACTTGGGTTGTTTTCACATCTTGACTATTGTGAATAATATTGAAATTAACATAGAAGTATGAAGTACAGATCTTTATTTAACACGCCAATTTCAATTTCTTTGGAGATATAGCAGAATAATTCTACCTCCAAACTACACTCAAAAAAAGGCTAAACTAGTTTAGATTGCGTTGTCAGTGTACATGAATTCCCTTTTTGCCACATCCTTACACATTTGCTATCAGTTTTCATCTTTTTTTTTTTTTTTTTGCTACATGGCACATGCATTCATGAGAGAGGGAGGGAGAGGAGAGAGAAAAAGAGAGAGAGAGAGATACAGAGAGAAAGTGAGAAATCACCCCCTAAGGGTGATTGCTAACATGAAATCCCTTCTCTTCCATTCTCTCAGGATTTTGAACATGCACGCACATATGCCTAGTATGACTTTAAGCCATGAGTCTGGGACTCGAACTATGGCCAGCCATGTGAAGTCCAGTCCCTTAACCACTACACAATCTGCTGGCCCCAACTATTGCTCATCTTTTTGTTTAGAGGTATAACAGCCATGAAATGATATCTCATGTTGTTTTCATTTCCATTTCTCTGATGTTAGAGATGTCGAACACTATCTCATAGGTCTATTTGCCATTTGTATTTATTTGTTTGAGAAATATCTTTAATTTTTTGAGAAATGTTGACCATCCTCCATAGGAGGTGCTTTCTCTTCTTCCTTCCTTTGCACATTTCTCAGTTGGGTTGTTTGTTTTCTTGCTATTGAGTTGTTTAAGTTACTTGTATATTTTGGATACTGGCCTTATATAACATGTACGATTTGTAAACTTTTTTTTTTATAATTTTCAGTTATCTTTTCACTTTATTTTTTTCTTGTTTAGAAGGGTTTTAGTTTTGTAAATCTTGTTTTGTTTCTTTCTTTTTTTTTTTTTTTTTGTTCCCTTTGCTTTGGATGTCATCACCCAAACCAAAGTCCTGATAATTTTCCCTTGTACTTTCTTCTAGTTTTAAAACTTCCAGTTGAATATTTAAGTCTCATCTATTTTTCAGTAGATTTTTATGTACAGTATAAGGTAAAAATCAATTTCACTTTTCTGCATGTAGCTATTTAATTTTCCTAATAAAACTGAAGACACTGTCCTTTCCCATTATATGTTCTCTCACTTTTGTCAAAAATCAACTGACCATAAATACTTAGATTTATTTATGAGCTTTATATTCTATTTCACTCAAACATAATTGAGAATTCTTTAGTTATGCTAATAAAGAAAAACTAGGAAAACTCAAATAAATCAAATTAGAAATAAAAGAAGACATTAGAACTGATGTTTCAGAAGTATGAAGAATTAAAAGACACTACTAAAAAATGCATGAAAAAATGCTCAGCATTCCTCATTGTAAGGGAAATACAGATCAAAATAACAATGAGATACCACCTAACCCCTTAGTCAGAATGACTAAGATTTTAAAAAAAATGATAAGTGCTGGCAAGGGTGTGGTGAAAGGGGAACTCTCCTACACTGCTGGTGGGAATGTAAATTGGTTCAGCCACTGTAGAGAATAATTTGGAGATTTTTCAAAAATCTACATATAGAACTAGCATATGATCCAGCAATTCCACTTTTTGGTATCTACCCAAACAACAACAGAATCCTTAATCAGAAAAGTGCTTGCACATTGATATTTATTGTGTCACTATTCACAGTTGCTAAGACATGAAACCAACCCAAATGCCTATGAACAGATGAGTGGATTGAAAAAGTGTGGCACATATACTTTATGAAATACTATTCATAAAATAGCAAA